TTAAATAAAAATATGGGGTGCCATTGACCTGCATTGGTTTACCAGGCAGTTGCAGTCATTCTTTGGTGCTTCTGCTTAGTTGCAGAAGGTCTTGAGAGCATTTCTTCTTTTCTGACCTTAACCAACCAGTTCTCATATACTTGGTCCTGAAAATGATGTCTGTATGCATGGATGGAATTAATCGCTTTTTAACACTTACTAATAAGAATGTTAAAACATTCTTTAAAGTGTCTCTCTGAAGAGGAGCTAGGCTCTTGGCACTATCTTTTCCATCTTAAGAAAAAACAAGAGAGGGATATCTGTGTGTGAGACAACTGACCACTGCTGTCAAAATACATGTCCACAGGAAAACAGAACACAGGCTTTAATGCTGCTTCTCTCCTGTCTCTGCTGCCTGCCCTGCCCCCATGGCTGTGGCAGACATTCAGCTGCTGCATGGGTTTGTCCTGTGGGCAGCCCCCCCAGTTTATCCTCTCATATGGCCAAATCACTTTGTACCTGTGGCAATTGGTTGGATCAAGAGCCTGGGGATGCAGCGTGAACATCAGTGGCTGCTTTGCCAGCAGTTACAGGGTGGAACAGCTCTGAGCTGGAAGGAGGAGGGAGCCAGGCTCTCCCAGCTGGGTGGAAGCCTTCCTCTGTGGAATTCCCCGTGTAAGATAAAGCTTTGGCAATCTAGAGCACCCTTGATTACCAGTGTATGTGGTGCTTAAAATCAGCATCAGTTTTCACTGCAGACCAGTTTCCTGCTATGGCTGATTCAAAGCAGTAACCTCTGGAGAAAGACGTGCATGGAAATGAGATTAGGAGGCTTTTGTTGGTGCCCTCAGCCTGGTGTTCTGACTTGTACTGGGTCTTTAGCTGTGGCTGTAGATTGCTGATGCACAGAATGTGTTTAGCTTTATATTGATCAAAGCTGTAGTTTTTATCTGGAGCATTTTAGTGGAGGGGTCTGGCTCTAATGCACATCAGAGAGTGGGTGGTTTTTGGGGGTTGCATCAGAAGCACCACTCTGTTTTCTGCTGGGTATTGTGTGAGGTTTGTGCACAGGAGTAGGATTTGCCTTTGAAATTCTGTACATGTTTGAAAATGAGTCTCTGAATTAGTAATGATCTTGCCTTGGAAAACTGGGAATGATGCAGCGATTTGTGAATACACAGTTTTAGAGAAAATAAACAAACTGCATACTAAAATCCTCCCGAATTCAAGCTTCTATCCAGGCTCAGTGACTTGTTTTTATAAAACTCCTGTGATATTTCATGAAAACAGTTTGCAGCTCCATCTGTCTGGCTGAAGGGAGTTATTTAGATATTCACTGGCAAGTCTTTGATCATGCTTTGGAGATGGGATTGGGGCTGAGTGAATGCAGTTCAGCTTGGGGACTGCCCGTCTTGTGCTCCAGCATCTCTGGGCTGCGACGTGCCTGGTGGGATGGAGCAGGAGCTGTGGACAGGCTGCCAGGCTTTCTCTGTCAGTGACCTCCCTTGGCAGGTACATGTGGTAGCTGAGAAATTCCCTCATTAAAAAGCTGCATGTGTCATAATACTGATGGGATTGCAACAAAGCTAGCTGCCTCCCTTGGGACCAGTGCTGTGTCTTTTCAGGGCCCTCTTTAAATTAAGAAGGTCATTTCTTTGTTTTCAGTGTCTTTGGCTTAGATGGTATTTTGTGACTCCATCACATATACAGATGTATAGAAAAATACAGTGGTGTTTTGTGTTCGTGGGAGACTTCTTGACTACTTTGACAGGTAGCAGTAGTTGAATATTTGACTTGGCTGATCTTTCTAATTCTTCATTCCCAGTGGCCCTGTGGTGCTTTACGAACTGCAAAGTTTATTTTTTTATTTTAAATGACTAGTGCAGTGCAGGCCAAACTGTCCCTAAATCACTGCCCCTGCACTGCTTTTACTTGTCCAGCCTGGAGATGGGTCATGTCAGGGCTCATCAGGTCAAAGGCAGAATCAGTTTGTCCTGCACTTGCATGTTATGACCCAAGGTACCTGCAGGACAACCACACAGCCCTAGTGTCTCATGCACTGACAGAAATCTGCATATTCAGCATTTGCTTGTGTAAATTCTTGATCTTGAGATGGGATTCCTTGATTTGTCCTGTGTAGTACCTGATGTTGTGATGTGCTCATGACAAAGGCTCTTCCATGTTGTAGAAACACAAGTTAATAGGGATACATCCTGCTTTGGTCTCCAGTTTGCATAAAATAGCTCTTACTTGGGGGTGAGTGTGAGTCTCTTGTTTTATGTCTGGATCTTCTGATTCTATTTGAAATGCTTCTTATAGCTTGGAAGTGCAGGGCATTTTTTTTAACATTTTGGTTGGTAGATTAAAGCTATTCATTGTGAAATAGCTAAGTCCAAACAAAAATGAGTGCATGGATGAGGGTGTGCATATTGCAGCTGATGAGCAGTCAGCTTGCAGGAGGAGAGAAGCCACTGGAACAGATCTGAAGTGACTGGATGCTGGTTGGTGGCAGCACTGCCCTTCCAGCATGACAGGCTGTGGTGAAGTGGTACAGCCTGTCAAGATGGGAATTCAGTGCTGGAAATAAAAATACAGCATCATTATACTGACCCCCCCACACAGTGATTTTTGGGGAAGGCAAGAAACAGGTAGACAAGCTGGTCACTTAGTGTACATTCCCACAGGAAGAGCTGTTGGATAACTGCCATATTTAACAAATTGAATATACAGTTCTCAAACTGGGGTTGGAACTAGATGATCTTTAAGGTCCCTTCCAACCCAAACCCTTCAATCATTCTGTGAAACAGAATCTTTAGTGTCCCTGAAGTGGCTCTAAAGAATAAATCTCATAGTGCTCACATTTGCACTCTGTTTATATACATTTCAAAACTACATCCATTGATTATCTTTTTTGTCCAATTCTCTATGTAAGCTTTCTATTTCACCTTGTCTGTACCTTCTTTATTCCTCTGAGGATGGTTTGATGATACAGTGAGACTTGAAAGGCATGCTACTGACAAGAGGGAATAATGAGTTGGCTCTTCAATGTGCTCAGTTCATGGAATTTTATAATTAGCTGTGTGAACTTTCAGTGTTTAAAAAAAAGGGAAATAGGAAATGGCAATTAAGCAGAACTTTCACTCTTGGATCACATCTATACTGCATTTCTATTGTTACTTACAGCTTTAAAGATCCTCTCTGGAGGGCTGTATATTAAGTAATTCATCTTATTTAACACTTCATTATGAAGCATATACAATTAGTTAATGATGTATAGAAATAATGACCTGGTTAATAGAAATTCAGTTCCTGAGAGCTCAGACTAGTTTCATTTCAAAGTTTTATGCTTGGTTTTGATTATTCTTTTCAGGTTCCCTAATGATATATATTTATCTGCCAGTTAATCTTTGAAGGCAAAATTGAAATCCAGTTTGTGAGCAAGATAATGAAAATCTATACATAGCTCCCATAGTTCTGTGCAATTAAAGATCCAGAAATGTGTCAGTCTTGTTTTTACTGCTAAGCTGTTCTTAATAGGGTAGGTTTATAAAAAAAATATAAAATAGAATCAAACACAGTCAGCCAAACAAAAAGCCAACACAAACAGCAACAGCAAAACCACAAACAAAAATACCCTTGTTGTGTGTTTTATTAAACATGAAATGCGTTTAAAAGTGCTTAAATATTGCACATAGCTGAAATGTGGATTGATTTGAAGCCTCCTGTAATGGTTGGGCTGGGAGACTGGTGGGTGTAAGCCAGTGTGTTGTTTCCTCAAGGATAGCAAGTTGTGTGCAAATGCTTGGAGGAGTCAGCCTGTATGTGCTGACTGACCAGCTTGGGGATGTCGTTTGGAGAGCAAGTCAGAGTTGTTTATTCCCCTATCATGTGTTTAACTGCATCTATTTTGATAGTATGACAGTTCTTAAAGTAAGTTGGGAAATGAGGTGAAGAAAGAAGTGTAGGATGTACTAATAAGTATGTTTTATCTTGGTCTGGTGAGTGCAGATGTGAGGTGGTTGGATGATGCCAAGCATGGAGGCCTTGGGGCAGATAAGAGTGGTTTTGCTTCAGGAGAAGAGCCTAAATGCAACCCAACTGCTCCGGCAGGCCAAGTTTGCTAATCCTGGCTCAGTCACACCCGAAACCCTCAATGTGATTTGTCGTTATCTGAAGTCTGTCATGAGGCTCAGCAGGATGCCCAAAACATGCTTATCCCCAAAGGAAAGGCATCCCAATCCTGCCCTTGGGTCAGGCCTGAAGCCCCAGCCTGGCCAGCAGGAGGGCAGATGCTGGTGAAGCTGCACCCCAGCCTGGTGTCTGGTTGGTGTCCAGCTCTTGACTCTGCACCAGCACTCGCCATTCTGCATCTCCCTAGAATAGCAGAAACAGGAATAGAATTTGGCTGAAGGCTGCTGCTCTGATCTTCTCTAGATCTCCAAAAGAGGTCTTTAATTCATCCTGCTAGAAGTGGCACAGCATTCTCTGTTTAATGCATCTCTACAGAGGTACCACCATTGTAGTTTTTTTGTCTAACATGTGTCTAGTATTTTCCCCTAACTGTGGTTTGTGAATATAGAAATATCATTTTCATAACATTACATGTGTGCTGGAAGAACTGGGCTTCTCTTGAGGAAATGCTAATTCACACAAGAAATGTGTTTTAGTTCTAAAACATGCAGCTCTCCCACGTTTGCTCTCTGGAGAGCATTTCTTACTGTTTCATAGCACAAAGGTGACTCTCTTTTATCTATATGTATCAGAACCAAGTCCACCTGCCATGGGAGTTAGTGTTTGTAACACAACTCTTGGCTTTTTTCCTGCACTAGCCTTATTTTTCAAGTATGTGGCTTAACTTAAGAATAATTTCTATGCAATATGCATATGAACTTAACTTCTCTTCACAGTAGTTCATTCATTTGCAAAAATCCTTTAGGACACCTTTTTTCCACAAGCGAAGCCTTTTTCTCTCTTGTATTTTGTGCCTTTTCTGTTCTGTAATTAGTTCCTTTGTGTGACAGGTGGGAGATTCAAGAAAGAGATAGTAGTTGATGGACAAAGCTATCTGCTGCTGATAAGAGATGAAGGGGGCCCTCCAGAGGCACAGGTGAGCGTTGCTTATACAGAGCTTTTTCAACCTGACACCGCGGTTTCCTTTCTTTTAAAAGCGTTCCTTTAATAGAACTGGCTTGGTTTTGTTCTTCCCCATGTCCTGCCCATCTTTCTGCTGGGAAAAAGCACGTGTTGCTCTCAGATGAGAAGAGTTCTGTTCAGAAATGACTGGGGATTTCAGCTAACATTGTGAATCTGTGCAGTGAAGACCAAGCTTGTATTGAATGCCTAATCAATATGCTTCCAGTGCTCACAAAACTGCATTTTGTTAAGATGTCTTCTGAACTGGAGGCTCTAAACTGTTAAAATACAAAGCAGCTGTGCCACAGTGACACACACTCATGTACAAACCTGTGCATTCCCTGTTGCTCCCACCTTTTGCTCCCTGTGCTGTTTGAGGCTCAGCACTGCCAGCTCAGTTCAGCACCACTGAGGTCTTGGGTTTCTGACACTGCTTCTCTTACCTCCTTGTCTCATAGAAGGGAATTCATGGGGATTTGCCTTGGACAAGACACCTGTGGTTTTGTTTCCTTGACTCTGCTGCTGTTTGGAGTGATGTGAAGCGTGTGTTTAGATGATGTTTGCTTCACTGCAGCCTCTCCAGCCTGGCAGTGTCTTTATCCTCAGGTGTCTTTCTGTGTCCCCTCTACCTCTCCTTCGCTGGCCACTCGTGAGGTTTCTCAGGTGGGGTGGCAGCCCCCCTTGCTTTGCTTGGCTGTTCAGTGGTGCATCAGCTTCAAAATCAAAAGCCATGTCCCAGCAGGAGTTGTGCTGTGGCCAAACAGCTGAAGGGGAGCAGTGCCAGCAGCAGCAGCTTGTGGTTCAGTGCTCTGCCCTTGCTCATCAGCTGCGGCAGGATTAGAGCGTGGGGGAAGGTGCCCGAACAAAGGAGAAGAGAAAGGAGGTGGAGGAAACGGAGACCAAGAGAGACATCCTGGAAGGAAGTTAAAATAGAAACAAAAAATTAGTGTCGCTGACACATCTGCGGCCGTGTGAGGCTCGAGCCTAAGAGAAGGGCTCTGTTCTAGGCTGTGAATAGTTGGGCTGAAGTGCACAGCAGCTTCCAGGGCCCTGTGCTCTGAGAACATTCATTCATATAAAGAGATTCACACTGGAGTTGTAAAGGTGCACGCAGCCTTCTAAATATTTCTGTACCTAAAGAATTGCAGAGCTTATTTGAGCTCACTGCAAACTAATGAATGGTGTTTTGCTGTTGATCTATGGTGGGTAAGTTTGGGGTTTTAAGTTGCTATTGTGGCTGAGATGTGTTCTTCAGCACATAATGAGTGTGGAAAGGTTTAAGGTGTTAGAAGAAGATGTGTTGCACATCTAAATTATCTTCGGATGTTTTGGGTATAATTGCAAGTCACATGGATATTAAAGATCTTTAATCTGTTTATTGATTCCTGGAATTAAAAATTTACTCAGGGTTCATGAATATTTATAGGTCTAAAGAAAATGCAATACTGTCGAAAGAAAAATGTTTACCTCCCACTTCTGTGGCTTCTGCTGCAGAAAGGGTTAAGGTTCTGCTTTTTGCAGCAGCCCAGTGTATTTTAGTGGTTGGCTGGGGCTAGCCCCCACAAGTAAGGAGCTGAAGTGGGGTCCACCTGACACCCAGGGACATGGGCTGAGGGAGCAATCCCAGGGGATGGCTTCTGTCCAAAGAAGGCTGCAGCTCAGGGTTTGGTTCACCATCCCCTCTGTTTGGCAGGAAGGGGGGAAAATGACTCCCCAGAAGTCTCACTTTCTGAAGTGATGGTCTCTCTCCTTGTCTAATACAAGCTTGTTCAAAGAAGAAAATTATTTTTAACCCCCTACCTAATTTCATAGAAGGGGAAGGTGATGAGGTGCACTAGCTGGTGCTGTTTCTGTGTGTGAGCATTGACCATTTCCTTTGCTCTCCA